CAGACACAACCATAGAGCTTCAAAGCTCATAACCCACCCCTTAAACTTCACCAGGAGCCAGCTGGCAGCCAGTGCAGATCCCAGAGCTCCGGGGCCACGCGCCCCTGGGGGGAGGGGGGGCAGCAGCACTGAGGAAGGGCCTGAGGCAGGGTCAGTGAATCACTGGTTGGATCCGCAGGCTGGCAGGATGCTGGGATAGCAGCCAAGCAGCATCATGCCACCAGCGTGGGGGGAAGAAGCCTTCTTCCACACCCCAGCTCCAGTCTCCTGCACAGAGCCCGTTGGCCTGGGCTTTGTGGGAGAGGCAAGGAGAGCGGCATGTGCCCTTTAGACTACAGAGGCTTCTCCGGTCCTGGGTTTGCTTCAGCTTTGGTTGGTATCCAGCATTGTTAGCCTGTCAGCATTCGGTGCATCACTATCCTCATGGTCTTCCACTGATACCCACGCTGGGGACCTCTGCGGGAGGAGCGATGCCCTAGCTCTTCTGGGGTAACTAGCTGGGCTTGTCACGGGATCCTCGCTGCAGCCCTAGGGAGGGGCAGCGAATCTGCATCGCCTCCCCCTTAGAGCCCCTGCCCCGCCCCAGTCCCATGGCATGAGCGCAGAGGGGGCAGTCGTTGGAGGGTGGGTTCTTTATTGGCTCTAGGGGACTCTGGGATATTCCCCTTCGGTTTGCTCCTACGTATAAAGAAGCTGGGGCCTCAGCTGCCATTGTCTGCGTCAGACGATTATCCCAGCCCCAGTGTAGCATAAACCAAGCTACGTCCACAGTTATCTTCAGCCACTTGTTGGGCCCCAGTAAAAAGACTTTCCAGGGGCCTGGTTGGCAGGCGGGTGCCAGGAGGGTGTTGTGTGAGACCGGAGGACTCAGGAGCCCTGCTGGGTGTTTATACTGTCCTGTATGGGACAGCTGGATTGCCCTGACTGTGTCCAGGGTCTCATTTGGGGGGACGGCGGTGTGGGGGGATGGGTTTTCCTGTGTTTTGCTCTGTGTCGCCTTGTGTACGTGTGTTTGTGGGCACTCCGTGACGTGATCTTGTCCAGCACACATGACCTGAGACCACCAGCCCGTCTTTCCAGCCCAGCACTTGGGGTCAGGTGGGAAGGGGGGCATCAGGGGGTCTCTGGGCTCCTGCTGCAGGGACTGCACATGGACCGGCCACACTCCCCTGTGAGATGGGGGTGGGTAGAAGGGTGTCGCCCGAGGTGGCCACAGCTTGCTACAGACAGGCAAGAATCCCCCATTCTGTGGGCTGGGCTGTCAAACATGCGCCTCCTCCCACAGAGCTGTTGTGTGGCTCTGACAAACAGTCATCCGGGAAGGGCTCGGAGGCCGGCGTGTCACCAGGTGGGAAACCGACATCGGATCAGCAGTGACCTAGAGGTGGTCGCTGGCTCCTTGGGCTGGTAGGGGGCTGGGAGCCCTGCCGGGAGGGCCGGGAGGAAAGGGCAGGTTTTTCTGTGCACCGAGCCATGGGTGTTGGACTCTCTGGAGGAACTTTCCCGGAGCAAGCGCTGGGAAAGGGAAGCCCACCGATAAACGGGCCAGTTTTCTATGCACTCTAGCCACGGTATCCCCACCCTCTCCGCTGCTCTTGGGAGAGGACGAACGCTCCCTAGCCCCTGCAATAACCTCAGAGCAGCTCAGCGGCTGGGCTCCGGCAGCCAGCGCCCCGTGTGGCGTGCGAGTGGGGACGGGGAGCCAGACACGGGACTGAATGCTGGGCCGGGGAGTCTCGTCTCTCGTCTCTGATCCCGCCAGTGCAGTGTCTTGCCCTTCCGCCTCTAGCTGCTCATTCCTGCTGGGCAGGTGCAAGGCCATGTGTGGGCAGGGAGGGGAGAGGAAGCCTGGCCCATCTGTGCTGTCTCTAAGGCAGGGCTCCAAAGAGGAAGTCCCTGAGTGTTCTCTGGCTAGTGCCTGAGGAGCCTTGGTAGTCCGGTCCCCTCCCCACCCACCCAGAAACAAGCCCGTTCCCTGCAACGTTTCGACTATCATGAAATTCTCAATAGGGCTGAAAAAAGACCCAAACCGAGCGGAAAAACTGACCTCAGCTGCTGGGAAATGGGTTTTAAAACATTCTCCTCTCTAGGTTCTGTGCACCCCAACAACACCATAACCATGGCAGCTCCCGGAACGGGCCCGTCCGTGAGGGGCGAGGTGGATGCCAGCTTGAAATCTGGAGCCAGAGGTGGATTTTGAACACCCTCCCCCCTCCCCCAAAAAATCCCAAACCAAGATTTTGGGCCAGCCAAAGGGACACCTGCAAAGTGTGGGCCTAGGGTCAGGTTTGGATTCTGCCTCCTGCTTTAAGGGCAGGGGAAAGCTTGGTTCAGATTCGGGACTGGCTTCTGCCCACTAAATGACACAGACCCCACTGGTGCCGGTGGGGGGGGTCAGAGCAGGGAAGGGGGGTGCTGAATCCTAGCCCCTCCTCCCAGAATTCAGGGAGCTGGAGCTGGGGTTTACCTGGGTCCAGCTCTAGTTTTAAACAGCCAGTGAGAACAAAGCGCCCACTCTGGTTACGGATTTGTTGGGAGCACTAGCCACATGGCTGGTTGGTTTGCTGGCTAGTTCCCCTCGCCTGGCGCAGATCTCTCCGAGCGGTTTGTTTCTCCCCTCTCCCTCTCATCCAGCATCTGGAAGCACTTCCATCATGTACTGTAAATACTCTGTGTGACACCTTCGTCTTCTTACTTCCCTTGGGAGGCGGGCAGGGCCGGGGGGGCGGGAGGAGACCGAGGTTCTGTACTAAGACTTTTTTGTATACCACAAACTTTTTGTATATTTTTAATTTTGCTGCAACATGAGATATTAAATTCCTTTCAATACACCTGGCCTGTGGGCCTCTCATTGCCTTCCTCCCCCTCTAGGTGCACCAATTCCCAGCCGCTGCCTGACGGGTGCGACCCAGTGAGCTCAATGGGGCTGTGCTGGTGCGGAGCTGGGAGAACCAGACGTGCAGCCACCCAGGGACCTCCCAGCAATGTACCTCAGCAGCCCTGCGGCAGGGCAGAGGCCAGGTTACTGCCCAGCACAGCTAGGAGCAGGTCTCCCTCGGGGCAGGGCAGCAGAGGCTGGCGGCAGAGTTGGTGCTGAGCCTTTGCATTGCTTGGTTGTGGCTGAGTTGGGATTGTCTGTTGGCCAGAGCATGAGGATGGGGAGCCAGGACTCGTGGGTTCTGTTTCCAGCTCTGCCACTAACTGGGGGAAGTTGCCTCAGTTTCCCCAGTTGTAAAATGGAGATAATGCCTCTGTCATCCCTCCCAAGGGGTGGCACACGTTGAGCCCATCGGGGAGGGAGCTGTAGAAGAGCGGAGTGTTATTCTGAGGGGGTTGGTGGGACAGGGCAGCAAGGGGGCTGTAATCCCCTCCCACATATCTCCTAGACCAGCGGGGGGGAGGGAGGGACACATGCTCTGCCGTGCAGTAATGTAGCAGATGCAGAGCTGGACTGTCGTGTAGCGGGAGTTCATATTTCCCTAGCCCGACTCCTGGGGGCAGGCTGTGCTGGGTCCAGACACACAGGCTTGGGGGGTGGGAGCCAGTAAAAGGAATCCAGGAGGCAGGAGCTCCCCCTGAAGGGAGGTTACGATACCCACAGCAGATGCTGATCAGCCTCCGCAAGAGGCTCCTGCGTGAAGCCAGCTCCCTTCTGCTCCTGCCACTCGCTATGTGGCTGGGTATTTGGCATCAGGGACATTGCAGGGAACAGCAGCCCGAGTGGGGCTTGGTAACTATGTGCAGCACATGGGGGCATCACTGGAGACACTCCACTGCCTGGATGCACCATGCAGGAAAAGGACCACGCCCGCCCCCAGGGCAAACCCGACCAAGGAGATTGCCTGGGGCATAAATCAGGCTGAGGGGAACGCAGTGCACGTGTTAGCCGGGGTCGTCCCTGACTTCATCAGACCTGCCGCAGGGAGGAGCGTGGCCAGGGAGCGCGGTGGTGGCTCTTTAGAGAAACCCCGCGGCATGGCGCTGAGTGACCTTCACCCCGGGGCTCAGGGGCTCACGCAGGAGAAATAATGGAGCTTAGCAGCCCCCGGGAGAAGCCTGACTCCAGAGATTTACAAGCCCCTGCAGGCGTCAGCTCCTGAGTCTCTGTCCCCTTCCTGTCCATCCCTCGCTGCTCGGGAAGAGGAAGTCTCTGCAGCTGCTGGGGCAGGATGCAGCGCACAGGAGGGAAAGAACATCCCTTTTAGCCTGGAATTTCTCTTCCCACCGGATCTCCCGCACTCTAGAGCGGGGCCAAGCCCCAGTCTGAGCTCCTCACAGTCCCCGGGGGGTTGAGGTTTGGGCCTCACGTGCACCGTTTCCTTCTCAAGAGCTGGGGCTCCTTGGCAGTGATGATTTGGGTCCCTGCTGATAGTTTATGACGCCCCAGGGCCTTGGTGCCTCTGAGGCTTTCAGCCCCCGCCATGGCTAGCATTTCAGCTCCCCTGCTCTAGTCACTGTCCCAGGGCCAGCTCTGGTTCCTGCCTAGCCCTACAACTGCATTGCATGCCCCATGTTTGCACCCAGCTGATCCTCCATCTATGCCAGGCCTTCTGCTCTGGCCCGGGAGCGAGTCAGGCACAGGGGACCCCCCGAGGAGCTGCCAGGAGCTCCTGCAGTGGAGGAGACCCAGGAGAGCCTTGGAGAACATCCCTTCGAAGACGGCACTAGCAGAACCACCGAGATCTCCCTGTTGGGTTATTAAAATTCTGAGGCCCAACAGCACAGGGAGGTGAACGAAACCCTTCTCAGCACCAAGAGAGAGACGGGGGGTGTGTGACAGCGAGACAGACGGACGGAGTGTATGAGAGAGATAGACAGACGGCAACAGTGCACAGAGACAATGTGTGCACGGCGCTGGGCAGCGGGCAAGAGGGTGGGCGCTGGGAACGAGTGTTCCCCCTTGGGGTGTGAGCAGAGCCCAGCAGCCCCAGAGCCCCGTCCGCTCTGCCAGAGCACAACTCCAGGCACTTATCCCTCCCCGGAGGGGCAGGAACTCAGCGAGTTCACATCAGAGCCGTCGCTGGTGGAGTTTCCGACACAGGAAAAAAACAAAGGACTAGCACGTAGCGGAAAGAGCTGCCTTCGCCGTGACAGGAGCGGAGCAGGGACGGGACATGGAGTACGAGGCCAAGAAGGGGAAGAAGGTATGTACAGGCCGAGCTGGCATGGCTTACGGCACGGCTTTGCGGGGTGCAGGTGCATGTGTATGTGGCGGTCCCAAGGGTGTCACTGCACGGGGCACTGAGTACTGCATGGGTGTGAGACAAAGGCCCTAGGGCTCCCCTCCCTTAGGCAGCATGGAGGGTAGCAGGTGAGTGGAATTCATGGGGAGCAGGCCCTACAGGGGAGAATGGCAGCCCATGATTCCTCCCCCACGCCCCCAAACCGGGGCTGAAAAGAGGGATGTGGCCTAGCAGAAAGGGGCGGAGTCACCAAACAGCCTGCGCCCCTCCCAGAACAGCATAAATTGCATTGAACCCTTAGGCTGTTCTACATGCCAGGTGACCCCTTGGGTAGCATAGCCCCAGAGCCAGCCGAGCTGCTGCCGATGGGGTGCGGGGAGCCCCAGAGCCAGATGTGCTGCTGGGGTGCGGGGAGCCCCAGAGCCAGACGTGCTGCTGCCAATGGGGTGTGGGGAGCCCCAGAGCCAGCTGTGCTGCTGCCGGGGTGCAGGGAGCTGCATGCAGGATCCATGGGGGGTTGGGCCGTCTCTCCGGATGCACACAACCGGCTCTGCTCTCTGTCCTGCGTGGACAAGATGGTACAAGATGGCTCTCAGAGGCCAGCAAAGTGCTCTCCCTTCAGGGACTCTGTACGGAGGGGAATACACAGCCTGAGCCATGGGCCTTTTATTCCCCTCTCCCCCCTGTGACTGACCCAGCACAGTTACAGGCCCCAGGGCAGAGGCCCGGCAGAGACCAGCTGGTGGCCCAGAGTCCTGGCTGGGTTGGCCGCGAGGCAGGGACTGGCTGTGCACCAGTTCTGCGCCCGGAACGTGACTCAGCTGCGATTGTGCGCGTGGCGTTCTGATCTGCTCGGCCTGCCACCTTGGCCTGGCCCGATCCCGGGGACCTGGGGAGAGACACACGGCTCCATTTCTTCTGGCTGGAAATTCCAGCTCTGATTCATCCATTTCTCTCCCACTAGGGTAGTTCTGGTTCATTTGTCACGTCCTCGCTTCCCGGGGGTTGTACCTGGCTTGTTTGCTCCATCCCCCGCCTGCCCCCCAGGAACGACATCCCCAAGCTCCTCCGTGTGCTTTTCATCCAAACCCATCTGCCTGTCCTGTTCCATGCAGGACAGACGCCTTGGGCCCAGGGCCTGTGCTCATTGGATCTATTACATGGCGCCGTTAGAGCCGACCCCTGAGGGAGCTCGCCCTCTCTGTCTCTTGGAATAGATTCTCTCTCTCGTAGCATTTCTAACGCACCCTTTACTGTACGTGGTCTGGGACTCCCCTGGGGGATGCTGGCTTCCTCTCACTGGGGGATTGCTGTTGAATCCATATCTCACGTGTGTGGCATATTCATGCACATATGATCCTGCCAGGGTGCATAGCAAACACCAGCCCCTCTGCGGTTGGAGTGGACGAGAGATGCCGGCTTCTCAGCCTTCCTCTTTGTTCTCAGGGGTTTGTGTCTCCCATCAAGCGGCTGGTTTTCCCCAAGGCGGCTCGCAGGCAGGCGCTCAGGAGCAGTGTCTACCGGAGGCCTCTGCATTCGGTCCCTCTCTACCCCCCAGATTATCTCATCGATCCCCAAATACTGCTGCACGACTACGTGGAGAAGGAGGTGAAGGTAAGGAGGGGTGGCCTGGGGGGCCAGGAGCCATCCCAGCAGCTCAGATCTTCTTGGTCGCTGGCAGGAGCGGAGGTCACAGGCCTGGTTTCCTTAACCCTGCTGTGCTCCAGAGAAGGTGGATCACCTGTCACTGTCATGCACCCGCCAGGTAAACCCCAGCCGTGTGAGAATCACCACCTGGTGGTTTGGAGTGAGCTCTCCCAGGGAAACTGAATGGCTGAGCTGAGTGTCTGCCCAGAAGAAGACCTGGCCCCTGGTTCTTCCATTCGTCACTGGCCTCTAACTCCAAGGAATACGCTTGGCTTAGGACTGCTTAATAAACACCCAAACCATAGAGATATAAGAAGGAAAATCAAATCTGAGCCCTGTTGCAGTTCAGTGGAGAGGAGGTTGGATTTGAATTCCCAAATTTTAATCCCAGGTCAGATCCCATACTGGGTAGGGTCTGCTTTCAACTTCTGTATCAGATGAGGCCTGACAATGGTTCTTATGAGATTTCAGCCAAGATGATAGAATCTTGTGAGACAGAAACCCTCAGATCCCTACTTTGCACTGGCCTCTAACGCCCGGTGGGCCCAGCGAAAACCCAGGGGCAGGACGTGCCGAGGGGAGTTCTTCAAACTGTAAAGTGACCAAGGATTGCAGCTTCAGAGCGACATGCATGGCAGGGCCCTTTTGCATGTGCAGGGTGGGCCCCAGGCAGCTGGGAACCCTGTACCCAGAGGCTGCCCCCTAGTCTCAAGGGTTCCTGTGGACACAGGGTTTAAAGTGAGGGTTTTTCTCAGTTCAGGGAGGTCTCCATTCCACAGTTTGCAGGGTGCTCCAGGTGTCTTCGGGCCAGGCCCATGGAGATGGGCATCACCAGGTGCCCGAATACCCCCTGCCCTTGGCCAGGATCAGCACCCACCGCTGGCGCTTGTTTGAGGGTGAAGCTAATTGCTTCCGCTCCAGTGTTGCTGCCGCAGGTTCCCTCTGAACTCCGAGACCTTAGCCGGGCGGGACACAGAGAGGAGACCCCTTCCCCTTGTGTCCTGCAGGGATATAGAAATACACTGTGTGCTGGGGTGTGCACCCCACACAGACCCCGAATGGGTTCATGTGGGCCTAAGAGGCCACGTATGCGCTCTCGCTGCACCTGCAGGGTGGGCCAGATGGGAGTCCCAGCTGGGGAAGCAGCCAGGTGTAAACAGAGGATGAGCAGGGCAGAGGGGGATCCAGGTAGGGAAAAACTCTGCGGTCCCTCTCTTGGAAGAGACATCAGGGAGTCCAGGAGGGTCAAGGAAAAAGCCCCCAGAGAAGAGGAGGCGAGGAGAAGAGCAGACAGGCTCCTCCGGGGGCGAGCTGGGGCCTGCCGGACCCCTGAGGAAGGGGGGAGTGGGCCAGCCCTGGACTGTGGGGTAGGTTAGGCACCGAAGGACAGTGTGACCCAGCAGAGGCAGAAGGTTTAATTTTTGTATCGCTCCTGAAGGACTTTGGTAAGGGCTCTGGAGGGGGCTGGCTGCGGGGCCAGGCCCCTCTGACAGCTGGACTTGGCAAAGCACAGGACGGGGAAACTGGCAGAAGTTGGTGCAGCAGCAGAGCCATTGGGACAGCTACGCAGCCACAGGCTGCGTTCCAAGGTGGGCAGGGGCGCCTTGTCCCAGACGCTGCGTCTACAGCTCCTGTCGCCCCAGAGGCTGATCATTTCCCAGCCTCCCAAGGCCCCTGCGCAGTGAGGGAGAGCAAGTGGCCGCGCTGACCGAGACCAACCAGCGAGACCCTGGGACTTGCCAAGGCCACCCAGGATGTCTGTGTCAGGGAATTGAACGCAAGTCTCCAGCTAGCGCCCTACCCACTGGGCCATCCATCCATCCTCTCTGAAGGCACATCCCTGGGAACAGAGACCCCCAGGCCCCCGGGGCTCCCCGCAGGGCTTTCCGGACAGCAGGAATCTCCACCACCTGTCACACTCACACCAGTCACCTGCAGTATTTTCTCTCTCCAGTTTTTAGGCCACCTGACCTGGGTGACGTCCTCCTTGAACCCCTCCAGCCGGGATGAGCTGCTGCAGCTCCTGGACACGGCCCGGGTAAGAGAAGGAGTCCACGGCCCAGGGTGGGAGCTGCCACCCCAAAGCGCCTCCACTCAGCACCGGGGTTAGAAGGGAAGACATGCGTAGTGTTCAGTGCCAGCTGCCAGCTTCCCCACGCTGCAGAGGGGGCGGACAGGGAGCCCGGCTCAGGCTGCTTCCTGTGGAGAGAGGGAACAGGGTGACCTTCCTCGCAGTCACATAGTGCCCTGGCAAGGCCCGCCCTGACTCAGGAACTATTCCCTGCCCAGCTGAGGAGAGCTGGGACTGCAGCAGGGTGGGCTCCCGCAGAGCAGACCCCCAGCACCACCCACCGGGCTGCCTCCATTCTGCCTCTGACCATGTTCCTTTGCCCGTCTGCAGCAGCTGAAGGAACTGCCCCTCCAGACAACCCCGGAGCAGGACAGCATCCTGAGCCTGTCGGCCCGCTGCCTCCTCCTCACCTGGAGAGACAATGAGGAGCTCATCCTGAGGATCCCCACCCATGAGATCGCGGCCGCCTCCTACCTGCGGGATGATGCCCTGCACCTCCTGGTGCTGAAAACAGGTACGGAGACTCCCCTGGCCCCAGCACCTGCGTGGTTCTGCCCTGCAAACCTGTCTGCCCCCCACTGTGCATACGGGACTCCACCAGCCCCATTCCCTGCTGCTTTGGGCTGCAGGTCATCACTGGCACCCATGCCGGCGGGATGCCCGGGGGATCGTGACGAATAAGCGCGGCGTGTGGTTATATCCCTAGTGAGACAAGCACACAGACGGGGCGGGTTGGCTGGGTTCACTCCCTGCAGCATCCTTGGGCTCAGGGGCGATACAGAGGCATGCAGTGTCACCAGGTCCTGCCACGTCCTTAGTGAGCCCTCCTGCCTCGTGGGGGACTCCAGAGTCAGGCTCGCTGGCATGATAGATGAGCAGGGCTCTGCTTGGCCTGGCAGTTCACTCCAGACCCTCATCTGCCTCACACCACTTCCCCATGGCAAGGTGGGGAGAAGCGGAGAGCGGCAACAGGCCATGCTCTGCAGTGCTCTGATGCTCCCAGCCCTGCCATTTTCCCATCGTGCATTTCCTGGCTGCAGTGGAGGGGCTGGTTTCTTTCCCCTCGCCCGCCATATGCCAGGACCCAGTCTAAGGAGAAGAGGCTCTGGACGCTTCTAACAATAAACCCCAGCCTCAGTCAGTAACTGCAGCCGGGATCTCCTGGGGCAGGGACAACACAGGGCATTTGGCATCAGACTGTGCCCAAGGACCCACTGCTCTCCCCTCCCCCAGCCGCGCTTGTAAAGGGGGTGTCATGAACAACGTGTCCACCGTCAGTGGCAGGGCTGCTACTGGCTGGTCAGGCCTCTGTCCCAGATATGACCTGGCTACAGAGCTTCCATCCTGAGGTAGGCACAAGAAATGGGGTCTCGCTACCAAATACTTTAATGCCCTGCTGGGCTGACTCCAGCTGTTAGCAGCTAAGGGAAGATGTGTGGCACGTGGCACCAGCCCTGCACCCTACGCTGACTTGCAGGCACCGGGGCGAATGGAGAGGCAGGAGACTCACCTCGTGTGAGCCAGGGAGGGTGGGTACCAATCCCCCCACAGTGCAGGAGGCGGCACCTGGGAATGGAGCTCTCTGAGCACAGATCTCTTCTCTCGTCTATTCCAGGCCTGGGAGTTGACCCCGTTCCTGCAGGGGGCAACCTGGACATGTACCCAGGGGGCAGTCTGGAGAAGAAGCTCCCTGGAGGGGCAGCTGAGAAGAGGCAGGCGGGGATCTGCCTGGAGCCCAAGCAGCTGGGGGGCACCATGGAGCGCCGGCACACCATCTGCAGCCTGGACTGGAAGATGGCCCGGGGCGGGCAGGAGGGCAGGCAGGGCGGGGGAGGGAGCCTGGAGAGGAAGCAGGCCAGTGGCAGCTGGGAGAAGAGACACAGCAGCCGGGCGGGCGGGAGCTGGGAGCGGAGACAGACCTACAGCAGCAGCTGGGAGCGGAGGCAGCTGGGGAAGGCTGGGGGCAGCTGGGAGCGGGGTAAGACGTATGGCAGCTGGGAGCGGAGGCACACAGGGAATAACCCACTGGATCCCAAGGAGCCCAGCCCTGAGGCGTATTGCAACCTCATCATCCTGGCCGTGGCCAACAGGGTGAGTAGCCGAGGGTGCTGTCCCCTTGCCAACCCACCTGGCATTGACCCGCTCCGGATCACCACCACAGCTGTTTTCTCTCACTGGGTGCAGGATGCAGCTGAAGAATCCTGTGCTCTCATCTGCCAGGTCTTCCAGATCATCTATGGGGACCAGAGCATCGAGTGCGTAGACCGGGCTGGCTTCCACTACACCTCCACCCCCGAGCGCCCCTGGCTCTCCAGCAGGAGTGAGTGCCGGGCGTGCCAGGCTCAGTGGGCTGACAGGACTTGCAGGGTGTTTATCCTGGAGCTCTGAGGTGGGGAGGCCCACACGCGATGTCAGGGCGGCGAGGTCCGGCAGTGGGGGGAGCTGGCAGTGCTGTGAGAGGGCGGCATTTGGGCTGGCAAGATTCCCGGTCTCCTCCGACAGAGGGCAGAGTCTCCTCGGTTCGTGGGACAGTGCGTAGTGTTGGGGGGAGGGATAGCTCAGTGGTTTGAGCATTGGCCTGCTAACCCCAGGGTTGTGAGTTCAATCCTTGAGGGGGCCACTTAGGGATCTGGGGCAAAATCAGTTCATGGTCCTGCTAGTGAAGGCAGCAGGCTGGACTCGATGACCTTTCAAGGTCCCTTCCAGCTCTAGGAGATAGGTTGGGGTTAGTGGGATTCTGCCTGCAATGCCTTAAATTCTGGGATGGTGCTTTGGGAGTCATCGCTGGGGCCACACTTAGTGGATGAGAGGGGGAGGTGGTGTCCCTGGCTCCTGGAGGTGATTATAGAGGCATGGGGTGAGGCGAGCCCAGTTGGACAGTTCCCTAATCTTGCCCCGGGGGTTTCCTTTTCCCAGGCGAGAGCTGCCGCACTGACGGAACGTATGGATACGACGCTGATTTCAGCTGCTGCAGCTCATTGTATGTCCCGCTCTGCAAAGAGCTGAATGCCCCTCCCCCCTTATTCCTGTGCATGGTCCGTGTAGCCCTACACAGCCGGTTTGCCCCTTGTGCGAGGGACCCAGGCCCAGTGAGGGGGACTCAGAGCAGACAGCGTTAGAAACGGGATATATTTATCTGCCCTTAAAGTGCCTGCGTCCGTGCCAGGGGCTGGGAGCTGACAGCCAGGGCCCAGCACAGGGTACATAAAACAGAATCTCCCCGTTCCAAAGAGAAAATGGGAAAATACAGACAAGAAACAGGAACAAGCTCAGCCTGGTCCCAGGAGTTAACCTTTCCCCCAGCTGGTGAGGTGCAGCCAGGAGGGCCTAAGCCCTAGGGAGACACATCCCAGCTGGTTGTTTGTAAGGCAGATGGCGTGATGTCCCCCTCTCGTGGCGGGTCCCTTAGACGATAACAGCCACAAGAAGCAATCCCACCACTGCCGGGGAAATGGGGTGGCAGGTGTGGGATGAACAGGGCCAACATTTAGAGTAGGGCTCAGACTGTGATCTGAATGAGGATGTCTGGACAGCCCAGCTGATCTCTTTCCCTTCTGCCTGCAGCAATGGCTCCCACGAGACCTTTGACGCATATTACAGTGGGACTTCTTCCCCTTCCTTTCGGGAGTCGCGTGACAGCCTGGCCAGTGACCAGAGCAGCGTGGGACTGGAGCAGCTGCAGGACTATATGATCACAGTACTCTCCTTGCTACTGCATCATGGGGGAGTCTTCATTTCCCCTGGCCTCATTCCATCCTTCCAACCCCGAGTCCTACTGCATCACTGCCAGGGACCTGTGGGAGGCTGGGGCTGGTGTGCAGCCATCTCTAACCCTGCTCTCTCTCTCTGCTCTGCAGTTGAGGAACAAGCTCTCCCCCCAGGAGATCCAGCAGTTTGCGTTGCTGCTCAGGGAGTACCGGATGGGACGGTCCGTCCAGGAATACTGTTCGGATCTCCTCCAGCTCTATGGGGACAAGAGGAAGTTTCTCCTTCTGGGTAAATGGCTTGTTCCTGAATGCTATCCCCACTCTGGCTTAGCTGGCTAGTGAACACTTGTGGCATCTTGGGTGGGAGACCTGGTGGTGTCTAAGGGAATTAATTTGACCTTTTCTAGGCGGTGCAGAGACAGGCATCTCTCTTCAGGGAGTTGAGGTTTGTGTTCATCAGACCGGCACTGTCTGATTAGAGATGGAGCCCAAACCGAAAAGTCCAGGTCCAGATTTTGAACACCCTGATCCAGGCACTCCTGAAAGCTGGATTCAGATTCTACAAACTTGGTTTTGCTCATAACCAACCCTCCACTGCAAAAAAATTGGGGTCCAGATGGATGCAACGTTCTGGTTTGGGCCTGTCTGTAAAGAAGGGATTGGAAAGAGAAGGCTTCAGGATATAAAGGTTCTGGTCTGACGGGGGTGACGCTGCCAGCTTCAGTGCCCATCTCCTCAATTTACACTGATGTGAGATCAGGATCAGGCCATTGGTTCTGAGAATACAACCCAGAATGAGAGACTGAAGGAACTACATGTGTGTGAGGCGGCGTCTCTAAGGGCAGGTGGGGGGGTGAGGGGGCATCTCTAAGGGCAGGCCGGGGGGGGAGGCAGCGTCTCTAAGGGCAGGTGGGGGGGTGAGGCGGCATCTCTAAGGGCAGGTGGGGGGGTGAGACGGCGTCTCTAAGGGCAGGTGGGGGGGTGAGGCAGCTTCTCTAAGGGCAGGCGGGGGGTATGAGGTGGTGTCTCTAAGGGCGGGGGGGGGGTGAGTAGGTTTGCCAGCTGTCTAATTAAACAAACCCAAACACCCTTGCCCTGCCCCTACTCTGCCCCTTCTCCGAGGCCCTTCCCCACTCACTCCATCCCCCCTCCCTCCGTCGCTCACTCTCCCCCACCCTCACTCACTTTCACCAGGCTGGGTCATTTGATTGGGGTGCAGGAGGGGGTGCAGCTCTAGGCTGGGGCTGAGGGGTTTGGTGTGTGGGAGGGGGCTCTGGGCTGAGCCTGGGGCAGGGTGTTGTGGTGAAGGAGGGGTACTGGGTGCAAGCTCTGGGAGGGAGTTTGGGTGCAGGAGGGGGATCAGGGCAGGGGTTTGGGGTGTGGAAGGGGGTT